TGAATGTCACTCAAGATGCTGAGGCAGTGCCAGTTGCTCTTTCCATTCCCAGAGCACTTGGAATATTCCAGAAAATGCTATTAAACGTGACACCGGTATGAAGTATGAGAATGATGCCTACCTTTCAAAGAATGGCTGGCTTTGAAGAAAATCAGTTAGTGGTACCTAGTGTAAATGACTTGGGGGGCTCTGGGAAAGCTGCTGACGCGGTCTCATCTGCGGGAGAGGAGAGATTCATCATCAGTGGTGGCCGGCGCAGCCCTGCCCAACGCGCGAATCACTCTGTCGCAAGGACCCCAGCGGGGAGGAGGCGCGGGGCTCTGGCGAGGGTCGCTGGGCGGTGCTGTCCGGCTCAGGGCTGCTGAGTTGCCGCTTGCTGATGCCCAGCATGGCCACGTCCGGTTTGCAGCCTCGCGCAGGAGGTGTGCGGCTCACCTTTCAGTGCGCAGCGCTTTCCAGACATGGACGGGGCACAGCCTGTGCAGGGCCCGCCCCACACACGGCAAGCGGAGGTCGGCAGGGGAGAGGACGGACTGGGCGAGGCTCATGTGGACCCTGATTCTCCCTCCCAGCCCCTCTCCACCCATCTGCGCCTCTCCTCCGCTCACCTGCGAGCGACAGCAACGGCTTCGTCAGCAGTGTGACCACGAATCCGGCTCTTGGCCTTTTCGACTTCTATTTTGAGGAGAGGGTGTCCACACTGCCCAGACTGGCCTGGCACCTGCCAGCCTCCTGCTTCAGCTTGCTCCGTGGCCAGGACTACAGCCTGCACCACCATGCCTGGACAAATTATTTTTAATACAGAATACAATGCATAAGGCTATAGATTACTCCTTTTTAAAAAAAGCAGCTAAGTTTAAGCACTTCCTATAAATTCTGAAACTATCCTAACATTTCACTTATTCACTCAACGAACACTGAATGAGTTGGGAAGATATTGCTAGGGGACAGCCAAAAGGCGTGAGCTCCCTGCAGAGTAACATGGATTTCTTCTATCTGAGCGTCTCCCTGGGCCCTGGCCCATACACATAGCTGGCTGCACACAGCTGTTTCTCTTGCAGACTGGTGAGCTGCGTGAGGCATGCACAGCACGGAAGGCAGAGCTCTGCCCCTCCTTCTGGGCATCGCCAGCTTCCCGGGCGGGACCTTGCTGGTCCTTGCTGGCACCCAAGCCTTCACCCGCCTGTGGCACCTAGTCTCCTCCCCTGGGCCTCCTCCCCTGGGCCTCCTCCCCTGGGCCTCCTCCCCTGGGCCTCCTCCTCCCAGGGGGATGACTACACCTGGTCTTTTCCACCAGTGGGAGATCAAAGCCTTCGGCACACCCATGGCGCCACCAAGCTGGCCCGGTAACAGACAGGCCCCCACCTGCTCCTGGCTGTCCAGCCCTGGATCGGAGCCTGCAGCGACACCCCGGAAAGCCTGGGACCAGCAGACCGAGGCCACACCCTCCTGACCCAGTAGGCCTAGGTAGGAGGTGAGAATGGGCATCTGTAATTGATTCTCCACAGCTGCTGCTGGCTGGCTGCGTGTTCTAGGACCGCTGCCTTATTAAGCGTACTCATTTTAAAACATCAATACGTAACCAACACATTAAGAAGAGCAAGAGAAGGGCTAGATTGGGAGGGCAGGCAAGATTCGGAAAGGTGGCATTGATCAAGAGCCTTTGCATTCAGAAACTGCTTTGCTGAGTGGCGGCTCTTTTATACAAGTAAAGATCATGAAAGCATTCCCCAAAAATAATTCCGTAAAAGGCCATTCATTGAGCATACTTCTCCCTCCCAGAAAAGAGAGGAACAAAACATTCAAAACATAATTTCCCATCGCTGAAAAAATTCATTTGCACCTTGAAAAGCACACCAAAATCCTAACATAATAGATAAATACAGATCTCCACCTTAAATCTCAGAACAACAATAAAATAGAAAAACTCCTGAAAATCCTCCATTTTTTTTTCTCATCAAAGACCAAGAATCAGAATGGTACTGACCCTCTCAGAAACAATGCTGAGAACTAGAAATCAAAACAGTAAGGAGGAATTAAAAGCTGGAATCGTAGGCCGAACGATTCAACAAGTGGCAAAGGACAAATACGTTCTGATAATATAAGATCTGGGGAAAAAAAAAACTTTTCTCAAACACATCTTTTTCAGAAAATTAACGAAGAAGCCAGGTGCTGGTGGCACACACCTATAATCCCAGCTACTCAGAAGGCTGAGACCTAGGGATCATAGTTTGAAGCCAGCCTGGGCAGGAAAGTCTGTGAGACTCTTATCTCCAATTAACAGCCCCCCCAAAAAAAAAAATCTGGAAGAAAGTCAAGATGAAGCAATTGCAAGTTTCTTCAAGAATTCCTAGTTCCTAATAACTTGTATTTTCTCAACTAGAAGAAATGGTTTCCGGTTTTGTGTGAGGGGTCTGTCTAATGTGGTTAGCTCCTGTGTGAAGCAGCTGTCTGTCTGCGCCTCTTCTACATGTCACGAACGTGTTCTCGTGCTGCCCAAAGCTGGGAGCGCTGAGCTAGAGGACTACCTCCGGACGGGAGAGTGCTCTGCGGATGCTCTCATCCCATCGCTCCTCCACCCTCACTACGCTCAGCCAGCGACCGAGGGGCAGTCTCCTGAAGTCCTGCGTCTGAGCTGCAGCCCTGATCCGGTGATCTCCACCTCCCAAGTCGCGCAGAGTACAGGCGTGAGCGGCGGGGGCCTGCTTCTTGGCCTTTGGCTCTGATCCACGTTTCTAATCAGGCTAATTATTCTTTCAAACCAGTTAGGAGGCAATGATTCTGGGGATAGGGATTTTACTGACTTAAGCTTAAAAAAAATTTTTTTTTTTTTGGGTCCGGTTGTGGGGCCTGAACTCTGGGCCTGGACTCTGTCCCTCAGCTCTTCAGCTCAAGGTTAGCTCTCTACCACTTGAGCCACAGCGCCACTTCCGGCTTTTTTCTTTTTGCTTATGTGGTGCTGAGGAATCGAACCCAGGGCCTCATGCATGCAAGGCAAGCACTCTACCACTGAGCCACCTTCCCAGCCCAAGCTTAAAAATTTTTAAATTCAGATTTATTAAAACCAAAAACCACCTACCTCAGCGACCAGTAAGTGGTTTTAAAAGCTAAACAATGCGGTGACTAATGAATCCTGACAGTAATGAACTTATACACAATTTGTACACATACAGCGATCTTAAACACTATGAGTAAATCACCTTTTTTTCGGAGAAGACTTGGTCCATCTGGACAGCAGTGTCGTGTGAGACTGAACGTTCCAAGGACCGACCCCACTCCACCGAGAGGAGGGGAGGGGGAGAGAGGGGAGGGGAAGGGAGGCCGAGAGCCGGATGTAGGCGTGGCTCAGGAGCAGAGCTGCTGAAGACTCTGAACGCCACCCCCAGCACTGAAAACCCCTGTCCAGGTCCCCCAAGACCCGCTGCAACAGGAGATCGCTGCCGGGAACATCCAGCCAGACTTGAAAAAGAAAATCAACAGAAGCAACACCGAGGAACACCTTGTATTTCCACAGCGCCTCATCAAGCACACGGCCGCTGAGGTCCAGTCGCTGAGCGGTGGCCGCTCTCCTCCCCGCTTACCGCTCCTCGCTCCTTCATAATCCAGAGTAGGGCACCCAGGGGCCACCGGCGTGCAGGAGGCGCACGGAGACGCATCTGAAGAAGGGGACGAAGGGGACAAATGCCACCCGCCCCGGGTGTGCCAGCACTGATGCCGCCCACCACACCCACCTCCCTCCGTGATTTCTAAAGGCAACTTTAAAATACTCCGCGTAAACCTCTGCAAATGGCAAGGGTAAGAGATGTGCTTCTCTCCTCGCCGTTTACCTACACGGAGAAAGGTCCACCGCTTTTCTTTTTGGAGCATGCAGTTTATAGGAAGTGGCGTCCCGCACCCTCCTTGTTTCTTGTTAGCCGCTGTTTGTCCACCTTTCCCGTAACGAGCCCCGCCAGGGGTCTTGCAACTTCACTCTTAGGAGACGGCAGAGGTAGGAGCCAGCGGCCTCCTTCCTAACCACGCCTCCACCTACGCCACCCACACCAGAGCCAGGGGGCTGCTGCGGGGGGGGGGGGGGGACACAGCCCCAGGAGAGTTTCCATTCCAATAAAGCACAGGGCTCCAGAGATCTCAGGATCACGGTTCAAAGCCAGCCCAGGCAGGAAAGTCCATGAGACTCTTATCTCCAATAACTACTCAGAAACCCAGAAGTGGTGCTGTGTCTCCAAGTGGTAGAGTGCTCGCCTAGAGCACAAAAGCTCAGGGTCAGCGCCCAGGATCCACGTTCAAGCCTCATGACCAACAAAAAGTAACCAGTAAAGGACATGAGCAACATCCCTAACTCTGGGCAAAGGGAAAAGCATAAAAAAAAATGAATTCACTAACAGGAAGAATCCATTCACCCACCTTTCAGGGGCATCTTTGAGAACATTTCCTGTATGAAATGCCTGAAATCACCGCGTGTCCTCAGACCCTACACCTCGCGGCGCGTCTCCATCCGGCCGGAAGGGGCTGGGCTCTGGCGGTGGGAAGAACTCTGCCAGGTGTCGGGGAGTCGGTCGTGAGGAGCTTGTGGACCTCCCGGGCCAGGCCCCTGCACAGCAGACGGCCCTCTTCCCACACACAGAAAGAGCCGCTGTGATGAACGCAGCGGAGCCACGAGAAGCCCGGCCCGGCCGCAGCACCGCTCTGCAGAAGGAAAGAACCGGAACCGGCTGCGTGGGGCTGCGGCCTGCCTCTCGGGGGAAGCCTGCCTGCAGCTCCGTCCCGGAGCGCCCAGGCCTCCACGGGCCACGTGGGCCCTTCCGGCTGCCCTGTCACCGGTCACCGCAGCCCCTGTCCTTCTTCCCCGCCTGGTGTCACAGGATGACACCTGCGTGCACACCCAGCCCCGAGGTCTGTGAACTGAAGCCGCAGCTGCCTGGGTTGTGTTTTTGAGAGAATGCGGGTTTTACTGACGGTCATCGAGTTCTGTTCTCACCTCAAATGTAGTGCGCATGGTTTCACTGAAGCGCCTTATGGTGTCCCCTGGGGCCCAGGAAAGCCCGCGTCACCCCCAGGCTGCTCCGCTGCAGCTCCGCCGGAGGAAAGGCCGGGAGGGCTGAGCTGGGAGCCACACCAGCCTGAAAGTCCAAAGGCCCAGGGCATTTGGCCAGACTGCAAGAATCACATCTTTCTGATAGTGATGTTTGCTTTTGCATTCTGCAGTCACCAGTTAACACTCACCCCAATGACAGATACGCGGTTAACACGTGGATAGAACGAGGAAGAACAAGGACTGGTCACGAGCGAGGACGCCCACCACCCGCCGCTCTCCCCATCAAGAACCGAGCTCAGCCCGCTACCTGCAAATTCACTCACACACCAGTCAGGGTCCTCTGTCACAAGAGACAGCTCAGCCTCACCGGCCTGTGCATTCTCTGAAACCAATCTCTGGATTCGGCAAAGCTCTGACACTTGGCAGCTCAGCTGAGTGGTTTCCATGCCGTGGTTTCCCATCTGTAGGCCAGGTGGGACCAGACTGGTGAGCACCTCCGCGTGACTGCACATCACACATGCAGACTGCACATGGACACAAGACACTTCACCAGTGCGACTGCTATCCATTTCAGAGACTCGTGTTCACAGAGCTGATTACATAACCGCCTAAACAGTTCTGTACGGGGGCCTGTCACTCACAGGACCATGTAACAAGCTTTGGTGCCTCTAGGTTAATTACATTTCAATCGAAACATCGGTTAGTCACTATGAGGAAATGAGATTTAAAAAAAATGTTATATGGTTGTTTTTTGCTTATTTTTTTAACTTTTCCTAGCCATTGTTTATCCCACAAACTTTGCCTTTTGCGAAATAAAGATAAAACAGTCTGATTTCTTGGGAAATATGGTTTCCCTATCACAGATGAGTGTGACAAATGAACTAGGAATTGCACAGGGAGTTTCATCCCTGACACGGCTAAAATCCAACTGGTTACAGCCTAGCTCCCATCCCACCGTGACTCCCACAGCCTCCACCAGCAAAGGTTCCAGTGGCTTCCACTACATCCTGGGCACCTGAGAGGACAGCCGGCATGCCTCAACACCGAGCTAGTTAGCCTCTGACCGTGAGGCAATCAGAAAGATCCCTGACTCTCCTGGCTCGGTCTGGGAAAGCCCCGCTCAGCTCCCCGCACGGCTGAGCCAGCTGCAGAGTGCTGAACGGGGCTGCACACAGACCACAGCGAGCCCGCCCGGCAAGCCCAGCTCCTGGCAAAGTACTGGAAATTAACAAGAACAGTAATATGCCCACCTTGGAAGGTAGATTCTGTTTGTGTTTTTGTTTATAAGAACATGGCCACAGTGGCAGAACTGGGCAGAAGACGGAGGAAGAAGTGAGAGGCACTCTCCTGTCTATACAAGCTGGGATGAAAGACTTGCTTCTTGCTCTGGGGAACTAAGAAGCCACTCGATGTTTGACGAAAATAATTTTAGCAAGTGACTGAGAAAAACGGGACAGGCCAATAAAACACAACATATTAAAAGAATTGGATATGGAAACAAAGGAGGAGGCTGCAATGCTTGATAAGAAATGTACTCATTACCTTGCCCATGTAATTGTAACCCCTCTGTATGGTATTTTCACAATAAAATTAATTAATTAATTAATTAAAAGAATTGGATGAGCTAAGGGAGCCAGAAGTTGAAGCAAACTTGGCCTCTTCTGCGAATGTGACACAGAGCTTGCCTCGGACATGTAAAAGGATGTTTTGCCCTGAGTTGAAATTGAGGGCTAGCCTGTGTCCTTTCAGAAACTGGTGGTTGTTGTTTTTTTTTCTTTATCTGTGATCCAGGGTGAAACTCCTTTCAACAATTAAAAATGAAAGACAAAATAAAACATCAGTGTGTATGAAAAAAATGAATAACAAAAGCTGGGCCCTGGTGGCTCATACCTATAATCCCAGCTCTCAGGAGGCTGAACAGACGCCCGCCTCATGTTTGCTTTGCCCTTCAAAACTGCACAGAAGTGGTTTGGAAAACAACACACAGCCCTTACCCAGAGACACCTGAAATCTGAAAAATGCTCTGATACTCTCACAAAACTTCTGAGAATGCAGCTCGCCTGCTGTTTATGCTCTTCGTTTCTAGCCTCTTTTTTTTTTCACTTTTAACAAATAACACCCTCTTCTCTGTACAAACTCGGGTTCAAAAGCAATGCCATGCCTCCTTCATTTTGGCAAATACATAACCGTGAGTTATAAACACATGCTGTTTTCACAACTTCGAAATATAGGTGAGAAAATCTGCACTGCCTTATTGAACAGGTCTGATGTGGAGAGAGGTAATCACGGAACAGCGTTGCATTTGTGCTCTGCTTCCCTCCGGCTCTCCACAAAAATGCCGGCTGTCCCGACGGCTTTTCTGGGTACTCGTAGCTAATGCAACATCCTCAATGCAGAAACCTGAAACTCCAGGCCCCAGAGCAATGGGTGGCCACAGATGGGTGTAAATAAAACTTTATTTACAACACAGATGGCAGCCTGGGTTTGGCCTCACTTGGTCCGCCCACTGCTGTTTTCTATAGCTGCTTCCCCTCTGTAAGAACAGAGCTGCGTATCTCTAATAGAGACCTTATGGCCAGGAGAGAATAAAATCTTTGCTTTACTGTCCACTCAGCCTTGGCTGGGCCATCCAAGACCCAGTCTGTGCAGCAAATCCGGACGTCTTCCACAGGGACCATCACATAGAAGATTCAGCGGTGATGGTCTTTGCCCAGCTGGGGAGAAGGAGGAGGGGACAGTAGCCGGCGCTCAGCCTAGAAAGCGGCTGGATAGACACGCCTTGCTGTGGAGCAGCCTGGGAAATGCTACTTCTGGCCTCCTGGCTGTGTCTGCATCTGAAATGCATCAGCTCATCCCGTCCTCCGTGGTAGAAATGTGTGCACACACTGTCAGGACCTGTTGGGCGCTCCCTGTGGGCCGGAGTCACGTTCTAACGGACACGTGCCTCTCCCGTGCAATAACCCAGGGGCACGCTCCCCACACAGAGTGGCTTTAGTGAAACTCGGGGCTGGAGTTTTGGTTCGTTTCATTTTAAACCACAGTTAGTATGAATTTGGACCACAAACCAATATGAGAAATCGTTCCCAAGGGAAACTTCTCTTTTCCCTCCCGTGTTTACTTTCTGCTCTCATTTCTTTTGAAAAATTTCATTTAAATGGATTCTGAAAAGACAAGGAAAATAATACTAGTTCTGCAGCCTTTGAACTAACAACAAGTATTGGTAAAGAATGGATTTATGAAGCAGAGGTGTCTGGGACTGGCAAAGTCGAAGGTCACTCCTGAACTGGAAATCAAGACCATGTGGCAAACCAAAAGACAGAGAGAGAGGAAAACAACTATCAGCTCTTTATTTCTGACTCGTAAGACAATTTTAGGACATGTAGAATCAGATAAGAATTCAGTAAATCAATGATTCCTAATTTCCTCTCATTAGACAAAACAAATAGAATAAAAAAGTGGGTTTGCTGGTCACCAGTGGCTCACACCTGTCATCCTAGCTACTCAGGAGGCTGAGATCTGAGGATCATGATTCAAAGCCAGCCTGGGCAGGAAAGTCCATGAGACTCTTATCTCCAATAAACCACCAGAAAACCAGAAGTGGCGCTGTGGCTCAAGTGGTAGAGCGCTCGCCTTGAGCTGAAGGGCTGAGGGACAGCGCCCAGGCCCAGAGTTCAAGCCCTGCAACCAACACTGGGATCTTTGAAATTATTTAAAATTAAATAAGTGCTGGGATGTGTTTCGGACCCCATGTGAGGTGGATGCGGTGATGGCAGCTCCGAACCCCTTGAGAAGGAAGAGCTGCTGTCCCTGCTCCGCGTCTACTGCGGGCCCCACCCTCCACCAACGAGGCCAGCTGTCCTGTGACTCGGTTCCAGGGGGAGCCCACAGGAATCCCCGGTCCCAGGATGCACTCCTGCCTTCTATAGACTCCTGACCTCACTGCTGGTCCGGCCGGAACCCGGCTGAGCTGCACGAGCGCTCGCCCAGTGTCACTGCCCAGCCTCCTCCTCCTCACTCACCACGACTGAGGCTCTGAGCTTCTTCCGCATGATGCATCTCCACCTCAGAGCCCACTCACCGGGGACTCAGTTTACAACGGAGTAAACCACAAGCGTGAGGTTTTAGAATAAAACCAGGAGGCAGCCCCCTTATAACACCATTCAAAGTTTGTAAGAACGTATTTCAGGGAAAGCTGAGCCGCCAGAAGGACTTAGGACCGAGGCGAGACATTTGTTCAGCTCTCCAGAGAGGGCCTGGGCTGCAGAGCGCTGAGTTCCAGGCGGGCTGGGCTCAGCCACAGCACTGGGGCCGCCCGGCCTCACCTGACCCTGCTCTCCTGAAATGCCCAGAAGTCGGCTGAGCGCTCCAGCGAGAACTCCAACGTGGTGACCACATGTAATGGAGAAACCTCGACCAGACACCTTGTCATGTAGCTCAGAAAACGACACCCAAGGGTGCTGCCCGACTCCCCGGGGAAACCCACAGAAGCTCCGACTCATGAACACTATATTCGCTTTCTTCCCAAAGCGCGAGAGCCGCTACGAAGCCCTATTTCCTCTGCAAAGGTTCTTTTCTGCCGGAGGCCTGTCAACCAGGCAGCTTTCATTCTGTGCCTTTTGCTACCAACACTGTCGTAGCTACAAACCCAACTTCCCTCCAATCATCACCTCCCTCCACTCCACGACACAAACCCCACTGCGCCTCCCTGCTCTCTCTCTGCTGTCTGGGAGGTCCCCTTCCAGCACGTTCCTCACCAGACAGGCAGACCATCGGTGCTGGCTGGTGAGAGGCTCCCCCCAGGCTCTCTGCCCCTCTGTGATGTATCCCTCCCCTTCACTTTTAGAAGCCAGGGGAGGGGGATCGACTAGCTTGAGGGAGCCAGACAGCTGGACCAGGATTGCTTGCATTGTTCATGTCTCTGTATCGGCACCATTACCACCTACAATTCTATTGGATCTGAAGAGTTGTGCGTGGAAAAGTGCAGGGGTAAGTCAAACCACCTTGACTCAAGCACAAGAGCAGACACTGTGGGCAAGTCTATCCTACTGCCCCTGCCCATGTCCTGGCCTTTCCAGTGAGGATAATGTCTCAAGCTCGTGGCATTCTGAGAATAAAACGGAGTTGGTCTCATGGGCACACTGCAGCCCAGAGAGCCTGACACAGATTACGGCCACTCCGTGCAGGAGACATGATCTCTTCTTGACAAATTGATGACAGACTTGTGCTGTTGTTTGAGAGGAGATGACTTAGAGACTCACATTTAACAATCACAACTGGAAACAAAACGCAGCACAACCAGAGACACCTGTTCCTGGACCCTGGCAGAGCCTGGTGCTTGGTTTTCCCCTTGGCTTTGTCCTGGGTGAGACCCAGGTCCATGAGCTTCCACCCAGAACGCAATTCCTTCTGGTCATCACCAGTGCAGGACTCTGGGAACTGAATGGCCAGGAACCACCTTCCCGCAGAGGCTCATTGTAGAGGTTCAAGGTTGGATGTGGTATGAAATTCATTCATGGAGAGCAGA